GCGAAAGTTGGAGAACAGACTGAACGAGACAGCTCCCAGTTAAGTACTCGTGTCATTCTTCAGTTAACAGCCTCCTTGCCTTATTCAGTCCCTGTGCTTCCCTTGCACCACCCGGCTTGTGGAGAGGTTTTCTCCCCAGATTTACTGGTTCCAGTAGGTTTCCTCTGAGTTTATATCACGCTAAATGTGAAGGGAATATGACTTTAAAGAAAACCCAAACAACACACAAAAATACATTCGGTACTGCTATGTTCTCTAATTCTTTTGCTCTGCCTGGCACACCACAAAACATGCAAACACCCATGTACATCTTGCAGGTTGGGATGGATCATCTGGTATTCTTCAGTATTTACCTGAACATTGACTGGAAAGGTGTTTCTTAAAGAAAATCAACAAGTGTAATTTAAGATCCAGCACAGTTTTGTAGCCTACCCAGGCCAGGATCAGTCAAGTAGAGGCAGTTAGCCCTCCACGCAAGATACATAAACCTTTTTAAATCAAGATATGTCCAGATGTATTTGCACTGGTAGTCACTGCTGCCGTGTATTCTTGCCAGCGATCCACCAGTATCTGTCCACTCTCCTTGTGCTTCAAGTGTTCATTCTCCTGTCAAGAGCCATTTCATGTGCCTGGATGTGTGCCTAGTGCTATTTTAGATGTGCTGGTGTATCTAACATCCTCACTAGACCGTGAGAAAGGACCTGCCTGAAGCACACACAGGTCTTTCTGCAGCAGTTCAATAGTCCCAACCAAAATGTAAAATATTAGTGCACATGTAGGTTTAAGCATGGGAGCCACTACCTATCTGGCTGTGAAGTGCATAAAATAGTGTATTCATAGCCTGTCACTGATGGTAATATTTTTAATGATTGGAAAGCTGAGTCTGGAAAGAGAATAGACACATAGACAGAGGTTTGACAGAAGAGACTGTCTCCAAGGCACATTTTAGGTCCATCCTGAGATTCTTTTGATGTGTCTTTCCCCCTTGGCTTGTGTAGAGTGGAAATAAATGTATGATGAAAATCTCTTTTCCATGTGTCCTTTGCTGGGAATGAGCCTAACAGAAAATTTAAAGAGGGGAAGGTGAAATTTGAGAATGTTGCAGCAAAATGAGAAAGGGGACATAGCAAACTTGAGAATGAAGGGTTTTTTTCCCCTGTTAATTATCATTGCTACTACTTCTTTTAGGGGTTTTGTTGGTTTTTTTATTTTTATTTTCTTGTATATACTAGAGTATATATGGGTTATAGAGTATATAGACCACTTGCAAAGTAGTTAGCTGTCCAGCACCAAGCACTCACTCCTGTCTAGCTACAGCCACATTAAGCAACAGGCCCAGCCATTTGCTGTCATCATCAGTGTAAGTATCCTAGGAGATTTTCTGATCTTGCATAATGACATCCTGACAACTGAGTACTTTGTGTTCATAGCAAAAACACTTTTAAAATTAATGTAATTGAGAGATAGCTACTGTTGATGTACCTGACTTCAAATCATTAGGAATATCATGTAAAACCATTTTATTTCGGGTCTTTAGTTAACAGCCACCTATATTTTAAAGTAATCATATTCACAGACAAAATGATACCATCATTACAGAATCAAATTTCATAGAATCTCTTAGAAACTTAAGGAACAAAAATTAAGCCTTTTTATCCCAGTAAATTCACAGCTAATATTCGTTCCAAGTAAAAAAGAGCAAAAGAAATGTCCACACCCTTGATGTGATGTTATTTCTAAGCAGAAAGAGTCCATTTACACCAAATACTATTCCAATACTACTGGGGCCAGCTCAGAGATAACACTGTGTAAATACATTAACTGCAAACAAATTGAATTATGAAAATCCTGGATTAATAATATTAGTTTTGTGATTAAGAGCAAGAACACTTAAAATACCAATACATGCTTTCAACTGTAAATCAATTTGATGCAGCCTTTGTGTGGAATGAAATGAGATCTAGTGATACAAATCAGAATAATGTAAATATAAAAGCTAAATAATGCAAATTAATATTATGATAGCTGTAAATACACAGGTATTTAGTGCTGAAAACATTCTGAATTCGAAATACTTTTCTTTTTCCCCCAGGTATTCATCATTTCTCTTTTTCGCATTTTGTGCCTGGACTAGTGAAGAGAGGGTGGCTGCATAAGCGATAGGATGGAGTGTGGGACACCCACACTCAACAATGCCAACAGGTAGAAAAGGGAGCCCTGAACACCAGCATCATCCTCTGTCCTTCTTCCCCAGGACAGCTTCCCTGCTCTCAAACACGGTCTTTAAAGCCTCAATAACATCAAAAGAATCTCCTCTCTGTATTCTAGGGCAGAAATAATTCAGCCTCTAGATAGAAATATGGTGAAAAAATATATGCTGGAAAATATTCAGACTGTCTTTGTGGGTTTGCAAATATGGTTCCTGTCACAATCAGGAGAGACTGGGCATTTTAGATGCTAAAATGCTTAAGTAACTTTCAAACCTGCCGTCAAAATGGCTAGAGACAGAAAGTTGAAAATTGGCGTGTTATGACATTCACTTTAGCAGAGGTGCCCACTCTCTTCCCACAGCAAAATGACTTTAATTTGCCCAACCTCAGAGTCCTTGAAAATGACACTCTGAGCATTTGCTGTAATGATTTCTCACTAAATTAGAAAAATGCCCAACTAAGGAGGGATTATCTCTGCATGTGGATGTGGCATAATGACTGTCAAGTGCACTGAGAGCCCCACTGGGCTTTGCAAGGTACACGGGATCTGCAGCAGAGGCCAGCATTTATCAGGGAATATTAATACTGTCTTGTTGGGGGCATCCATTGTGATACTCTGCTGCTGTTCAGACAAAATTATACCATACAGGGGAATTCTCTTTGCTACTTTACATACATGAGATACCTTTTAGGGCTGAGGATTAGTCCTGAATTTTCTGGCTTACAAACCCAGTCCATAAAGGATACAGGCACATGTGTGCACACATTCTCTGTAACAAGTGTACTTTCTGGGACAGCATCATGGCAAGATTCTTCCTCACAGCCCATGGCTGCTACGATTGCAGTGAGGTTTTGCTAGCGTACTTGCATTGACACACGCAGAAAGTCTCCTGCCTGCTCCCCAGAAGGACCCCAACAGCTCTAATCCCTCAGGACAAAATGTATGTGTTCCCCAGCTGCTTGCAAGCAAGTTTCACAGTGAGCAAGGAGCTGGGTGGGCAGTGCCACTGCCTCATCAGCCCTATCACAAGAGTGAGAAACTGGCCCCCGCTAACTCCGCTCAGCCCCATAATAGAAGCATGAGGAGGCTCATTTTTGTTTATATCAGAGCTTGTGCCGTGAAAGACCAGGGAGATGGTGGGAATGTGTTGGTAGACAAGGATGTTGAGAGTTTCAGCACAACTGCCACAGTAGCACTTCAGTAGCAGCACTCAAATGCCCAGCATTGATGTTCCTCACATCCCACTGCCAGCCAATTCACTCAAACCC